CTAACACTCCCAACCTCCGCAAAACAATATTTAACACCACGAGCGCCATCTATTGACGAGGTTCACAACTAATGATGCCTGTTGCTGAGGACAGGACGCCTGGTGCTTCAGCTTGTCTAGGTCAGCGCCTGACCTTCCGCAGGATGTAATCCCCACGACAGATGGTGAACTCCGGGTACCAATTTACTGCTAGGTGAACAGCGGCATCAGGTGCTTGCTTGCTAATAGGTATATATATATAGGCATTAGGTGAGAGGAAACGAACCCCCAATCGTTTCTGTCTCATTCGGGGACAGAAACTGAGTGTATGTACACCAGCTGAGTGCACACGCAGTTAGTGAGTGTACACGACGATGGTGCAAAATGTTATTCAGGTGCTCAGGTCAGTAGTTGCATGTGCACACCGGTAGTCGAGTGCTCAGGTCAGCGGTTTTGGCAACTTCCGCCGCTGAGCTCAGATCCCGGCTCGCTGCTGAACGGTTGCCCTGTGTCTTTGTTCACTTTGTTTCTTTGTTTCAGACAACACTCACCCCCCCCCCCCACACATACACAACACCTCGCCCAACCACTTGGACAGGACGGTAGAGCGAGGGGGTCATACTACATGCAGGTCGACTTTCAATTCCCGACCATCCAAGTGGTTGGGCACCATTCCTTCCCCTTCCCTCCGTCCCATCCCCAATCCTTATCCTGACCCCTTCCCAGTGCTATATAGTCGTAATGACTTGGCGCTTTCCCCCTGATAATTCCCTTCCTCCCTCCATACATCATTTACATCATTTCCAGCATTATCATTTACAGTAGTATACCTAATAGTATTATCACTTACAGTATCAAGTAATGAATCAGGAAGAAAATTAGGAGTACACGAACAAATCCACAAGGGCCGTGACGAGGATTCGAACCTGCGTTCGGGAGCATCCCAGACACTGCCTTAATCACCTGAGCTACGACAGGGTAAACAGAGTTGAAACCGAAGTTCTACGGAACTTATTGGATACCGATTCATTTGATGCATCACGTTAGTGTGATCTCTGTGTGTTAGGAGTACACCTAATAATTCAATAAAATGTACCTTTTCCTCCCTAGTAGCAATATCTGGTTAAGCCCTCCCAGATGAAGCTGTACTGTGCGTAATTACAAATTAAAATCTCTTTTTGTTATTAATTTTTGCAGATCAATATAAAAATTGAGACAGTTGGCCAGGAATACAGAAACAAAAGAGAAGTTTCTGTAATTATCTCTCCTTCCTGAATCATTCGCTGTACTGAGAGAGAGAGAGAAGATTAAGCCACCCAAAAGGTGGCTTGGGCATGAATAGCCCGTAAGTGGTGGCCCTTTTGAGCCATTTCCAGTATCAATAGATGATACTGGAGATCTGTGGAGGTGCGAATGCACCCTGCAAGACGGGAGATGTCTCCCTTGCGAATGTGTTAAGATGAAGATTAAGCCACCCAAAAGGTGGCACGAGCATGAATAGCCCGTAAGTGGTGGCCCTTTTGAGCCATCACCAGTATCAATAGATGATACTGGAGATCTGTGGAGGTGCGACTGCACCCTGCGTGACGGGAGATGTCTCCCGTGATTGACCCATACGTGGCAGCAACTATTAATATCCACCCAAACTGTACTTCTGAACCCCAGTATATATAGTGGGCATCAATCAGTCTCAGGCACCGCTCCTGTGCCTGGTAAGTCCACTACGGCTCACCATAGCCCGTGCTACTTGGAACTTGTTCCGAGTAGTTGAATCTATAACATTAGTCTCAGGAGACTATGGTGTTACGCTCTGGTTGTCGGTCTGGAGTGGCCTCATCAGGGCGCAAAGCCATGGTAGGTTGACATGGAGGAGAAGCTGTTACCCATGCAGCAGCTCACCCCTCTCTACGGCGCCGAAAGTCTCCAATGGAAAGGCAAACGCCAATACGATTGGTTCCAGCGCCGTCGCAGGAACTGTGAGTTCCGGGGTTGACCTCGAAGTTGGTGAAAAAAGGCACAGAGACTCCAAACCCGGAGACCGCCGTGGTCGGGGCCGGGGAAGAACCACCCCATCAAGGGTATGAACGACCCCAGCCTCCTGAAGGAGAGCCTGGGGGGCCGCACGAGCCCCAGGAGGTGGACGTCCCGGTCCCGCACTTACGGGTCCCAGACAGAGATCATCGCAGCCCCTCTTTCACCCGAGGTCGGCTTCCTTCATGACCAAGCAGAAGGAAGAGTGATAATTATTAATTATTTACATTATTATTATAATAATTATTATAATAATAATTGTTGTACTTAATAATTATCATATATGTATATATATATATATATATATATATATATATATATATATATATATATATATATATATCTGGTTCACGTTTAAACCTTTTTTTTAACTTTTAAGGATTTTCCCTAATTGAGGGGGGGGGGGGGCCGGGCCTTGGGTGATCACCGAAAATGTTCTCTCGGGTATTGAACACCTCTCTGTTGAATTTGAAAGAATTAATATATGTCTAATGGATGTGTGAATTAATATGGTTAACGTATATATGAATTAATTTGCCTAACGTATATATATATGAATTAATATGCATGTTGTATGTATAATGTATATGTGAATTAACATGTATGATTTTCACGAATTCATGGTGAGTCTGAACACCTTCACTTTGTACTTTATTGTTCATTTTAACTACAAAAGGTGGTATATATATCCTGGAAATTGAAAATACTTCTAATAGATCGGATTCAATGCCGTGAGAATTTTCAGAGCAGAATATAAATGGTCTTCTAAAGCAACACTTTGAAAATACAAAATATAATCGTTCAATGGCTCTTAAATCCTGTCCACTAAATACACTCGTGGTACGGTAAAGTGTACCACTCCTGTGCAAAACGTACCACCAAATACACCCCTGGTACGGTAAAGTGTACCACTCCTGTGCAAAACGTACCACCAAATACACCCCTGGTACGGTAAAGTGCACCACTCCTGTGCAAAACGTACCACCAAATACACCCCTGGTACGGTAAAGTGTACCACTCCTGTGCAAAACGTACCACCAAATACACCCCTGGTACGGTAAAGTGTACCACTCCTGTGCAAAACGTACCACCAAATACACCCCTGATACGGGAAAGTGTACCACTCCTGCGCAAAATGTACCGAAATAAGACTTATGTGTTTTCCCCTATAACATGGAAGCCACAGTACCGCCAGCTTCAAACTGTACCATGCTGGTACAATTGTATCCCAGGTTTACATCAGTCCACCTCCCCCAATATCATCATGAACGGAACCAATTTCAACGCATTTAAGTATAGAACAGCAAATTGAGAACAGAGAAATTGAGTAATAAGAGTTCAAGCCACACAGGTCACAACAAGGGGGCAGAGTTACCCATTGAGTGTGGCAGGACAAAGTTGTCATACATAAGAACATAAGAACAAAGGTAACTGCAGAAGGCCTATTGGCCCATACGAGGCAGCTCCTATTCTATAACCACCCAATCCCACTCATATACTTGTCCAACCCGTGCTTGAAACAATCGAGGGACCCCACCTCCACAATGTTACGCGGCAATTGGTTCCACAAATCAACAACCCTGTTACTGAACCAGTATTTACCCAAGTCTTTCCTAAATCTAAACTTATCCAATTTATATCCATTGTTTCGTGTTCTGTCCTGTGTTGATACTTTTAATACCCTATTAATATCCCCCCGGTTATGTCCATTCATCCACTTGTAAACCTCTATCATGTCACCCCTAACTCTTCGCCTTTCCAGTGAATGCAACTTAAGCTTTGTTAATCTTTCTTCATATGAAAGATTTCTAATTTGGGGAATTAACTTAGTCATCCTACGCTGGACACGTTCAAGTGAATTTATATCCATTCTATAATATGGCGACCAAAACTGAACTGCATAATCTAAATGGGGCCTAACTAGAGCAAGATATAGCTTGAGAACCACACCAGGTGTCTTGTTACTAACGCTGCGATATACAATAGAATGAAAATTAAAAACCCGTGATAAAAAAGTAAACCCGTGTCAAAAGTAAACCCATGTCAAAAATAAACCCGTAACAAAAATGAAACCTGTGCCAAGAGTAAATCCGTGTCAAAGTAAACCCATGCCAAAAGTAAACCCGTACCACAAGTAAACCCGTACCAAAAGTAAACCTGTGTGGAAAGTAAACCCGTGTCAAAACTATACTCCAAAATGAGCTGTGTGTGGGGGGAGGGAGGAGAGCGCATGTGCCTTTTCAATATAAACCAAATATGTAAGTGATCGTCTAAATATTTTTATAGTTTAAAATAATACTCAATTGTAACATTTTTCTTTAATTAATATTTAAGAACTGTTTTGCCTGTAGGCTTGACGCTCGTCCGACAGATTAAAACGTGGAATTAATTTGGCGTAAGGAAAGATGTGATGGGAAAGATGTGTGGCAACTTGAGTGCGCGGGTCTGTCGGACCTTTGAGTGCGCGGGTCTGTCGGACCTGATCAGCTGCCTCAGCGCTCGCTAGTTGGCTGGCAAGGTCGAGCGCCGCTACACGCTTCGGCCGCTGCACGCTGTACCGAGGCTGCACGCTGTACCGAGGCTGCACGCTGTACCAAGGCTGCACGCTATACCGAGGCTACATGCGCCGTCGCACACTGCACGCGTCACACACGCAAACACCCACACACGCACCCCTCCTCACCACAGTACGCCCTCCTTACTCAACACCGCCGGCGACGCGCGAATTCCTTCGCCGATATTCGCAGCGAATCTTTGTTGTCGTAAGATAAAAGCATCAAGAACACGTGTCGTCTCGTGTCGGTGTTGTTTTGTTTAGGAAAGGATGAGACATCAGGGCAGCCACCACAGCAAACTGGGCCTGCCGGTCATGGTGCCCTGGTTGGTGATGTGGTGGGCGGTGGTGGGCAGCCAGGGGGCATCGCTGGGCACCCATACGGCGCCAGCAGGAGGGAGGTGCACGCCTTGTAACGCAACAGTGAGGGTTGAGAGCCGGGACCTTCCTGCCGTAGGGTTCCTCTGTCCCGGCGCGCCCCATCACCATCACCCCTACACCTGTCTCGTCTTCTTCGACCAGCCTCACAACCTCACCATCCATCTCCACCATTTCTACCCGGACCAGTTCTCCGTGAGTTGGGTTCTCTTGCACAGCTGTTGTCGCCAGTTGGGTTCGCCAGCAGGTGTTTAATTGGCTCTACTATTTCGGTGTGATTCTCTAAAATCGGCTTAATTCTCCAGTGGATAGGACAGAATATCGTTTATTTGCAGGGTTCTAATTGAGAGAACCTCGCTTGTGTTCCAGGTGGTGTTGTGTAGCATGATCTACTTCACCTCCTGACCGGATCTGGTGGGTTCGGAGCAACAACACTGCTTCAACATGCAACATCTCATACGGTTTCGGGACGTGGGCCAACCGGTTTACCTGAATATCTCCTCCCTCTCACCAGGCCCCACCCACCACAGCCTCCCAGACCAGCTCCGAGACCAGCATCTGGTCCAGTCCTCCTCCCATCATGGTCAGTCTCTCTCTTTCTCTCTCTCTCCCTCTCTCTCTCTCTCTCTCTCTCTCTCTCTCTCTCTCTCTCTCTCTCTCTCTCTCTCTCTCTCTCTCTCTCTCTCTCTCTCTCTCTCTCTCTCTCTCTCTCTCTCTCTCTCTCTCTCTGCCTCCTTGGTAGAGCGTTATTCGGACGTAGGCACCTGTGGTTGGCTGCAATGTTTATCTTTTCCTACACTCGTCTTTGACTGGAAAGATTGGATACATTGTAGGAAGATTAGATTCATTAAAGACCTGAGTAGATGATGGTTTGGAAAATAGGGTTGTTGATTTATGGCATAAGTCACCAGGTAATATAATAGACGTGGGACTGTTGAGTTGTTTCAAGCGTAGGTTAGACATATAAAAGTCTGAGTGGATATAAATAAGGAGCAATCTCGTATAGGCCAATTGTAGTTGTTTTTATATTCTTATGTGTTTATGTTCTTGTTACCCACTTTTGTTGAAACATTTCCACCTTTTAACCTGACACCAGAGGATTATGGTATTCTTATCTCAAACTGCTTCGAGGGTTTGTGGTCAGCTGGCCTCTCTCTCTCTCTCTCCTCTCTCTCTCTCTCTCTCTCTCTCTCTCTCTCTCTCTCTCTCTCTCTCTCTCTCTCTCTCTCTCTCTCTCTCTCTCTCTCTCTCTCTCTCTCTCTCTCTCTCTCTCCCTTTATACCTTCTCCCTTCAGCTAGTTGGTATATCTACCCTCTTACAGCTGATCTCTCCCCTCAGACACGGCCATAGAGGGGAAAGAATTCAACTTCACCTACGAAATGAGGCAGCTGGGATCTCACGAACCAGCTGTTGAAGGCCTCGACTACGCCCACCTGCAGGACTGCCACTACAACGGCGTTCCTGTCCTCCACCAGCTGTCTGACAGGTGGGTCACGTATCCACCAGCTTTCTTGCAGATGTGTCAAGTCTAAACATCACTTATCCTGAACACATCAGTGATACCAACACCACCAGGAAATATATCACCAACAGGAAACACGGCATCAGCGCCAGACAAAACACTAGCGTCATTGTCAGCTAGCAGAGAGCAGAATAAGCTGAAATATATTATTGCTTGATTAATGCATTTATGATTCGACTCGTCGTGTGTGTGTGTGTGTGTGTGTGTGTGTGTGTGTGTGTGTGTGTGTGTGTGTGTGTGTGTGTGTGTGTGTGTGTGTGTGTGTGTGTGTGTGTGTGTGTGTGTGTGTGTGTGTGTGTACTCACCTATTTGTGCTTGCAGGATCGAGCATTGACTCTTGGATCCCAAAGCATTGATCTCTTGGATCCATTGACTCTTGGAGGTGTGTGTGTGTGTGTTTGTGTGTGTGTGTGTGTGTGTGTGTGTGTGTGTGTGTGTGTGTGTGTGTGTGTGTGTGTGTGTGTGTGTGTGTGTGTGTGTGTGTGTGTGTCCCCTCGTCCTTGTCCCTCCCATGTACTCTGTTCGGTCAACTTTTTGAGATATCTGGGAATCTTTTACGACGGAATCATATGCCTTCAATGTTTTTTTTTTCCTTCGTTTAGCTGTGTTGGATGGTCGAGTTTCACCTTATTGGACCTGCCTTTCGAGCTGTCGCTAGATACATGGCCTTAACTGCATCCCCCTTCTAACTTATTTTTAATTATTTCCCTATGGCGGTGTGTATTCCCCTTCATCTTTTTAATCTAATTTCTGTAAAATCTTTTATATGTCCCAATCATGCCTGTGTCACGTTTTCTGTAACATTTTGAGGTTAAGGTTCATTTGTCCTCGTATCCCAGACCTTTCTGTTCCGGGACCAGCTTCGAAGCAAGTCAGTTTTTGTATTTATGAGGTGAGGGATCCTTGCCTAGGTGGGGCTTATGCATGTCCTCTCACTTAATGCTTATTTTTTTATAAATTCGACCATGTTTCTTAGATCAACAAAGAAAACGGATTCCATAGATCAACAAAGAAAACGGGTTTCATAGATCAACGAAGAAAACGGTTTCCATAGATCAACACAGATTACGCGTTCCCTAGATCAACAAAGAAAACGGGTTCCCTACATTAACAAAGAAAACGGGTTCCCTAGATCAACAAAGAAAACGGGTTCCCTACATTAACAAAGAAAACGGGTTCCCTAGATCAACAAAGAAAACATGTGCCACAGATAAACACAGATAACATGTTCCACAGATCAACATAGATAACATGTTCCACAGACCACCCGCATTAGTTGTTCACTGTTCTGACTGTAGGGAGCTCTTATTCTGCCAGCTCACATTCTTTGTCAAGTGCTGAGGTTCATGTCAAACAAGCTACGTCAGCAGTGTGTTCAAGTCTGCAGTCGTGTCGTGTTCTTTCTCGTGGAGGTTTTATCGTACTTTTTCCTTGTTCTCATAACATGATGTGTGTGTGTGCGTGTAGGAGAGAGAGAGAGAGAGAGAGAGAGAGAGAGAGAGAGAGAGAGAGAGAGAGAGAGAGAGAGAGAGAGAGAGAGAGAGAGAGAGAGAGAGAGAGAGAGAGAGAGAGAGAGAGCACCAGTATCCCAGACACAATACACCAGACCTGTTTATTGCTATCATGATGCTGGATGAGTCTTTGATCAAGTTTGATTAATTTATTAAGTTATATTATAAACAACTCATTGCACCGCGTCTTCCTCACCCCTTCCCCTTGAGCTGTACAGGCAAACAGGGTTATAAATACTTACAAAAATACCCAGAAACTGCAAAGTAGTGGAAACCCTAAGTAGAGGAGCAGAGCACCAAGTGAATCTTTGGGGCCCAGCCTCGTCGTTTCAGATTGGCATCTGCGTTCCCCTGTCTACCATTGTTCCCGTTGAAATTTCGTCGACGTGGCGTGCTTGTTAGAGGATAAAGGGGGTGTTGTGGGGGGGAAGATGGAAGGGGGAGGGGAGATGCTCGTAATGGGGGTGTGGTCCATTGTGGGGGTGTGGTCCATTGTGGGGGTGTGGTCCCTTGTGGGGGTGTGGTCCCTTGTGGGGGTGTGGTCCATTGGGGGTGTGGTCCGTTGTGGTGAAGGGGATCTCTCCCACACTAGGGACAACACTGTTGGGGAGGTGGTGGTGGTGGTGGGGACATGCTGTGTGAAGATGTAATATGCTTGTATTACATTAGTCTGTCTCTGTGGGTCATTCATCAGCGCTTTCCCCCCGTAAGTAGAAGCTCTGTTTAGGGTTGGATCCAGTTAGTTGTTGGGCTGTATGATTTATTTTTGATGTATACACATTTATTTTTTCTAAGGCGAGAGAAAACGGCATGTAATTGCCATTTGTAAACAAATGACAGGATAGCAGGCTGTGATTGGTCAAGAGGTAAACAAAACAAGAGAGATAACAAATCAACAATGAGCTCAATTAAATGTAAACAATACCGGAGGCCAAGCATCTGATTGGCTCTTGGGAATACACTCGATGTCCTACTTCTGATTTTTTTTCCTTTATGAAATTGCTACATTGTAAATGCTGGAATTATGTCCACACCCAAGTCTTTTTTTTTAACTTTACGATTCCTGTGTAATTCTTTTCTCCTTTTAATGTTGATTCACTCTGGTCTCTTATCTAACATTTTTATTTTCATTACCTTACAGATATTAGGGTTGAACTTTAACAGCCATTTGTGTGGCCACTCGTGGAATTTATCAGAGATTTTCCTGCAGCACCTCAATACAGTTCTCCTCTGTTCTTACATTCCTGTTTTATTCCTTGTTTAAAAACTTAAATCGGTAAGGTGGGAAAAATGATAACTTTCAATGGGACTCGTGACCTTGCTAACACACATTGCTTCGTATGTTGTTATAGATTCAGCTACTCGGAACAAGTTCCAAGTAGCACGGGCTATGGTGAGCCCGTAACAGCTGCTTCGTAATGTGGGCAAGCATTAGGGGGGATAATTTGGATATCTGTGATTGGCCCAGAGGTGGAATAACAGCTTAGCCAATTATCGTGGAGCTTGATGTCAATGGTTCTCTAGAGTTCACTTGATGTCGCATCTTTGCATGGAGCCCCAAGCACTCAGTCAGGCCATATAAGAGCCCCAAACACTCAGTCAGGCCATATAAGAGCCCCAAACACTCAGTCAGGCCATATAAGAGCCCCAAACACTCAGTCAGGCCATATAAGAGCCCCAAACACTCAGTCAGGCCATATAAGAGCCCCAAACACTCAGTCAGGCCATATAAGAGCCCCAAGCACTCAGTCAGGGCCATATAAGAGCCCCAAGCACTCAGTCAGGCCATATAAGAGCCCCAAACACTCAGTCAGGCCATATAAGAGCCCCAAGCACTCAGTCAGGCCATATAAGAGCCCCAAGCACTCAGTCAGGCCATATAAGAGCCCCAAGCACTCAGTCAGGCCATATAAGAGCCCCAAGCACTCAGTCAGGCCATATAAGAATCCCAAGCACTCAGTCAAGCCATATAACAGCCCCAAGCACTCAGTCAAGGCATATCAGAAAACGTCTGATATTACAGTAAATATATAATCGATACGATTTCGACTTAAACCTGAAGGAGAAGAATATTCAGAAGACTTCAGAAGTACTGAAGTTTTCAGAACTGTGCATAAGACGGAGAGGTGTTTCTGAAGACATTTCGGGCAGCGTAGAGGGTCAGAGACACACAGACGTGTATCTGTGTACCAACACTGTTCACCAACTATGTACCAACTGTGTACCAACTGTGTACCAACCATGGCGTTACGGGAACAATGGCCTTACTGGCGTCCTAAGAACCACCCAATTAATTAAGCGTGTTGATGCTTAACTCCATTATAAGACAGACGGGTATATATAAAACTGACGTAAGCACTTGGAGAGGCTTGGAGAGGCTTGGAGAGGCTTGGAGAGGTTTGGAGAGACCTTGATCTCTTGTAGGTGGTGAGAGCATTTATTGTCGCTCTTGTAGGTGGTGAGAGCATTTATTGTCGCTCTTGTAGGTGGTGAGAGCATTTATTGTCGCTCTTGTAGGTGGTGAGAGCATTTATTGTCGCTCTTGTAGGTGGTGAGAGCATTTATTGTCGCTCTTGTAGGTGGTGAGAGCATTTATTGTCGCTCTTGTAGGTGGTGAGAGCATTTATTGTCGCTCTTGAAGGTGGTGAGAGCGTTTGTTGTCGCCCTTGTAGGTGGTGAGAGCATTTATTGTCGCTCTTGTAGGTGGTGAGAGCATTTATTGTCGCTCTTGTAGGTAGTGAGAGCATTTATTGTCACCCCCCAGTCCACATGCTCATGTTGGCCCCCCTGGCCACATGCTCATGTTGCCCCCCTGGCCACATGCTCATGTTGGCCCCCCTGGCCACATGCTCATGTTGCCCCCCTGGCCACATGCTCATGTTGCCCCCCTGGCCACATGATAGGGGTAACTCACCAAGACCTGGGCTTCGTCGTATTGAACCCCTTTATGTATATGAGGGAGAGTCCTCTCCACCTCCCACCTATCCATCTCCCCTTTACTCTCTCCCTTACCCTTTAACCATCCACCTCTCCACCCACCCCCTTTGCCACCTACGATACCCACACACTCGCTGCCTCACTCCCCACTCTTTAACCTTCCAGACTCTGGCCGCTGACGAACGATCTGGATTTTTGTTGATATGTGCAACTAAAGACGCCAGAAATCCTCTCAATATAGTGATAGACGGATCCGGTCCCTCTCCAGAACGGCTGACTGAAGGAATTAGCGTCGGGAGAAGACAGGCGTCTAAGACTATTTTTTTAGACTATTTTTCGGCCTTTAAATATGTGTAAGGCTTTCCAATTCTACCGACTTGTTCCCTATTACAACAAATTGTGTTTTGCGGATATATTAAGGGACCCTGTAGCTCACAGCGCAAAATTAAAAGGAGCCTAAATGTGTTGTGTTTTGAGTTTGATGTGGGATAAGGGGAGCTGTTGCTATGCCGGCAC